GAATACTATTCTGCATTGAAAAGCAAGGAACTCATAAAATATTATACAAAATGGGTGACTCTGTAAGACATTATGCTGAGTGAAATATCTCAGTCACAAAAGGACAAATATTGCATAGGGCCACTGTTGTAAAAAGGGACTGACATCAGGGTTGAGGGAAGACAGAAAAGGAGGGGAGGAATGATGTATATTGCATTGAAACAGATGAGGGAGAGAACTGTTTAAAAGGGATATATGAATGGGTATTCTTGTCATTACGGAAGTCCAGAGTGAAGGCTGCAGAGTGGAGTGGACTTGGGGGAAGAGATTGCATAACAATCAGAGTTTTTCTTTTTCTTTTCAAGGAGAAGAGTGAATAGGGGGGAGGGGGTGGACAGGGAGACAAGTGTAACAATGAACAACTGGAAACCTTCAGTCTCTGTAAACTTTCATTAAAATGAATAAAAAATACTTTATAAAAAAAGAAAAAGGGATTGCATAGATCTTCAGCTGGGAGATTATAATGGGTTATACAGGTGGGCCCTAAGTAATCACATGAAGCCTTTGAAATGGAAGAGGAAGTGTTGGTCATACTTGAAGTATGAGAGGGTAGTGACAGACTGTTACTTGCTTTGGAGACAGAGGAAGGAGTTCACAAACCAAGAACACAGGCAGCCTTCGAAAACTGGTAGTTTTAGCAAAGTAACAGGAACCTCAGTCCTATCATAATGGACTAAATCCAGCCAAGAGTTTGAAAGAAACAGTCTCCAGAAAAGAATGTAGTCCTGCTGCGATGCCAATTTTTAGCTCAGGGAGACCCATACCAGATTTCTCACCTACACAAGTTTTAGACAATACATCTGTGTTCATTTGTTACAGCAGCAACGATTTTACCTTTTAACAGTCTGAATAAACAGGAAATGGATTCTTGGACTTCATATAAACTATTACATGCCTAGCTTCTTTCACTTAACTGTGTTTTAGAGATTTACGTATTTTGTCAAAGTAATTTTCTAAAAAATTGTAGAGCATTTCTCTGGCAATAAAGCACTATTTATCCATCCTGTAGTGTGGATGGGCAAGCGGTTTGTTTCCAGGTTTTGGTTGATTGCATCGTGGGTAAGGAGCTATGTTACAAACTCAAAGGTAGGTGATTTGAATCCACCAGCTGCTCCATAGGAGAAAGGCGAACCATCTCCTCCTGTGCAATTTCTAGCCTCTCAAAACCTGCTGGAGGGTCTTCTGAGTAGGTTTCAACTCTACAGCAATGAGTGAGTGGTGAATATATAAAAGAATGTGATGCTTTTCAGTATTTCAATTAGGAAATGATCTCTAAGTAAAAAAATAGGATATATGTATTTTACTTGTTTATGAATAAAACTCTAGAATATAGTAGAAACTAACCAGTTGTTAGTTTCTACAAAGGAAACTTGCAAAGCGTCGTACTGAGAGGTGGGCTTTTTACTTTTTATTCTTTCAAATTTTGTACCATGTGATGAGTTAATTAGTAAAAAGAGGCATCTCTACATTACTACTGGCTTATGGGAGAATCGTATGTGTCACTGGGTCAGAACCGACAGTTGACTCTCCAGTGGGTTTTCAGAGGCAGTAAATCACATGGGAAACTGCTCATCTTTCTCCTTTAGAGCAGCTGGTGGATTTGAACTGTGTCCCTTTCATTTGGCAACTCCTTAGAACTAAGCCATTGAGAAAATGAATTTTTCTGTTGAAATTAGTAAGTTCAAAGTTTCATCAGTTGTTACAGATGAGAACAAAATATTTAAATCATAAAAGTTTACCTGGATGGAAATCACAACCACTCAGGTTAGTAACAAGGAAAAACAATCGCTAGAGACAAAGGGAAGGGGGAAGACAGTAATTTATTACCAAACATCTATCACCACCATCAGCATCTTCATAAGGCAAGCTTCATGAGGTATTTTGTTTCTAAAGTAAAAACAATGTAATATATTCTTCACACTGGTTCAAATGGAGAGTTAAATTTAAAACACAATGAACACTTTCGCCACAGCTTAATATACAGCATCCTATACAAAATCCTAGCAAACTATATGAGGCAAAAACAGTGCACGGAAAGAGGCTAAACAGACCAGGTTGGTGCTCTTAGATGGAGCTGGACTTTGAAAAATGTTCCTTAGGGGAGCTCTGGTGGCCTAGTGGCAAGGAGCTGCAACTACAATCCCAGAGGCGCACGGTTTGAATCCACCAGATGCTCTGCCGGGGAAGGAGGGACAATCTCCTCCTTTATCAGTCAGATCTGATTTGACGGTACACTCACACAAAAATAATAAAAAATAAAAATTAAAAAAAAATGTTCCTGTAGGTCCCTCTTAAAGGTCAGGGAGTTTTCCCAGAGCTTGCTGGCATGCACATTCAAAGAGCTGCCAGGATATTGATGTTGGGCCTTTTTACCAGGCTCTGGTAGGATGGTCCTGACATCATAAAGGTGAACGATTTATCCTTCAAGATGGCTAGGCAGATGCTATCCTGAGTATCTATGCTGGGAAGATGGTTGTTGTTGATTGCCTTCGAGTCAAGCATGACTCATAGCGAACCTAATCAATACAAGGCCTGAAGTCTTTCTATTACTATTGACATTTATTAAAGTTCCTAGAGTTTCCGGAGGCATTTTGTTTCGGAAGTGGATGAAGATGGTAGGGCATGAGAATCTTCACTGTGGACACCTTGTTGTTTTTATTTATTTTAACTGTGGGTACTTTCTAAGGGCAGCTACTGGGGAACTCCAGGGAGAACTTGTAACTCAAGTCTTCATATACCACCCAGCTGACAAGGTTGTGATTCAAGGCAGGAAGAAAATCCTTTGTCATCAGACATCAAGGGCATCATCAACTTCTACTGTAATCTCTTGCCCAGATAAAACCAGGTTTCTGAGTTGTCATGACACTGGCTATAGTTGGGTATTAGCTGTTAATTTGTGTACTAAACATCTAATTAATTTCTTGAGTTGTTGATTTAAAAAGGGACGGGGAAGACAATTTAATAAAATCTACCACTGAAATAAAGCTTGAAACAATTGATTCCTCACCTTTATGTAGCCCTTTCCATATATGTTCACATATATTCCCTTTTGCTTCTCCAAACTCACTTTAGTAGAGCTGAACATATTTTATACATGAGGGAAGGGAAAAAAAAGACCCAGAGATGCTGATTTACCTAAAGCCACAAATGTGTCTGAGCTGGGACTCATATAAATACCTGACTTTCGCATGACTACAACTTCCCAACTTTCTACTGCCAATTCTTAAATCTCCAGACTTCTCTTTTCTCTAGAAGCCCCCAATCACAACTTTTTTTTTCTGCTTATGAGCCTTCTAAGAGAAATACCAATTTTGATAATGGCTCAATTTACTGTACCTCACCATTAAATGAATGTAGGGAGCCCTGGTGGCCTAGTGGGAAAGGAGCTGCAAGCCGTTAGAAGTGACAGCTGCTCCTCAGGATGATGGGTAATACCACGCTGTGGAATTTACAGCCTCTGGAGGCCAAATGGAGAGTCAGCTACAAGTGGGTTCCAACTCGAGAGCAATGAGTTTGAGGTTTTTTTGGATTTTTTTTTTTTAGTTTTATCAAATGAAACAAAATTTAAGTCTAAAAATTATACTAAAAAATCACTATGCAATTATTTTCCCACCACACAAAAGTTTTAATTTGTATTGAAGATATTGTACCAAAAAATGTGCGAAGACAAGGAATATCAAAGTAACTTATAACAAATTTCTGAAACCCTTCACATATTAAAATTGGAAAGACAAAAATAGGATTTACAATGTTTGTCATGATTAGATAAGAAAATAGTTCCCACATTAAATTAATTATTCTTGCTTATAAAAATTCCTAGCACAAGAATGGAAATATTCAATTGCTTATAAATAGACAGCTATTCAAAAGTTTCTTTTGGATATTCTTTGGTGTTCGTAAAACCACATATATATCCACTTACTGTAGCACCTTTTCAAACTAAATATTTAAACTGGAAATAAAAAAAATATAAAATTATATCTGTGTACAGAAAGCAGTTCTAGGGTAAGTATTTTTATTTCATCTGCTTAAATGTTTATGGATAATTTCACTTATTAAACTTTAAAATAATTAACTATTCTTTGCTATTTATTGTGTTCTAAAAGTTTTTTAAAGAATCTCTGAAATACAAAAAATCCCCCAAATACACCCATTGATATAAGATTAAATTCTGACTTGAAAATTTATGATTTTTCAACTGCCTCTGCAATATATGGAACTAAAGAAAATGAAAAGTTTAGCATTGCAAGATTACCAGCTTGATAAGCAGCTTGGGATATAAAACATAAGTCTTCAATGGAGAAACACAAAGAATGAATAATATGGATATATCTTAGTAAAAATTCTTTACCCTAATAAAGAATTCATTTGTAAAATATTATCCAAAATAGAAAATTTATTTTACAGAGTGATTGGTTTTATAATGCATCAAAAACTGTAATGCTATACTTCCCTGTACTCATAGCTTGTCTCATAGCAGTGGTTGAGGTTTCTCCCAAATAATTTAGTATACATTTAAAGTGGCAATACAGATTTTACTTAACGGATTTAAGTTATAATTAGAAATCAGTTCTTTATACAGAAAATTGATAAATATAGAATTTTTTATTCCTATTTCATCTTTAGGCTATACAAAAATTGATTAAAAATTCAATTTTTCATTTGGTTTTGTAATAAACACATAAATACATATTTACATTGGAGATGTTTCTGACAAAAGTAAACACAGAGAAGTGATTTTGGTCTTCACTTGGATTCATCACTAGCTGTCCATTTTCCAAGAAGATCTGATACATCATAGTCATTCAAAGGTTGATTTTGTTTATGCACATAATTCAAGTAATAATTTGATTTTCATTTGTACAGCTAATGCTTCATTCTGCATTTAAGTTTCTTTTAGAAAAGATTTCTTGATCCAACAGTAGAGCTTTAAAATGTTCTTTCGTTCTAATATGGTAAAATGATTCTGTACAATTATGTGCAATATTATTAAAATACTGTCATTTACTCTTCACTGTTCACATCTAAACAGTAATTCTTGAGTTCTCTCACATGATGTAAGTATCATCTTTGTAGCAATTCATAGTCTCCATTTGTTTTGTCATTGCCAGAACATCATGAAATCCAGTACTTAGACCAGACATATGCTGAAAGTATGCCTCTTTTTCCACTTGAACTGTTAAATTATTTACTCCAGCATCTTTTAGTATTCCTGTAACCTGATTATAAAAAGAAATTTAAAAATACTTAGATTAAATACAGTTATATGTTAACATGTCTTATACAATTGATCCAGATGGTTTATAGTCAAAGGTTAATTCTCAAAATCCATTATTTACTTAGTTACAAGCTTTAAAAAGACTAGAAAATGTCTTGATATTAAAAATAGAAAAGAAACACAACTATTATTTTCATTTGGGATTACCTAGTACATGGATAGAAGAAATAATTCTGTTCACTATCTCGAGTGGTAGTATATAACTTATCAATCTGATTATAAGTACCAGTTTATCTACTTTTACATTAACTTGCAATTTTGTACATAAATTATTTAAGTTGAAATACTTTAAAATAAAAAAGATTATTACCTGCTGCACTATTCTTTGTTCCAGCACATCAGATGTTACCTGTATATGAACTGTTCCTGCTATAATACTGGCAGAATGACGCCAAAAATGAGGGTCTCGGTATGATATTAAGCCTTCAATTTTCTGTATCTGTCAAATAAAGACAAGTTTAGCCTTAAAAACTAATTTGCTTGGCACAAAGCAATCCTTTTGGCCCAAGAAAACAACTCTTTTTTTTTCCAATTGCATTCATTAAAAATATAGATAAAATAGATTTAAAAAAAAAAGGAGAACAGAAGACTCAAACTAGAAGTAAAGATGCTTATATAAAAGGCATTCTGACCTTAGAGTGATGTCAGAGAAAGCAGTGCTGAGTAGGAAGGTTACAGGTGTCTTTACCCCGAAATCTGACTCTCATCACACACTCATTTTCACTATTAAGATATATACTGCCTACTGTACAAAGGCTTTTCAAACCACTACCTGGAGGCATCCAATAGACTATCTGCTGTCTTGTACATGACTACATATATTATTCATTCCACAGAGACAGCACATCCAAAAGATATACTTTGTAGAGGGCTGGCTGGATAAATTATGGACTATTCACATAATACTGTCATTAAAATGTATTATCATCAATATGAAATAAATCAATGGAGAAAAATTTGAAGTATGAATAGTAGTTTGGTTGTTTTTTATTTGTGTGTCCCCCCTCCCCCCGCTTTTCCCTCTATCCATTAAAAGCATTTCCCAGGTAGTGAAACTTGTGGATTTGGTTTCTGGTTTCCTTTAAAAATGAAAAAGACATTTCTTTTCTCCATGACTACATGGCTTTTCTTTCTCTCAAATGGAAATCTAATCGACCCATACTGGTTAACAATCCTTTCTCCATCTTTGTACTGAATTCCGCTAAGTTCCAGGGTTCGCTTCTGGATGATCCAATTTTTCTTTATTGGTTTGTATGCTTATTCTCATGCAAAGATCAAACTGTTAATTCATTCTTTGATTTTACAATCACAAAATAAATTAATAAATTAAGTTTGGTTATTTTGTAAATAAGTTTATTTTCCTGTTTATTTTTTTTTAAATACTGCAAATAAACTTTAATATTGGATGATCTATCATAAAGCACAATGAGAAGTAATGGCATTAAGATCAGAGAAAAGCAAGGTTTTCTCCAATGTTTTCACAGTACAGTTTTCTTCAAGAACATGTCTTTCTCCATTGCTTAGTCCCTGCATTATTATCTTTAAGTTAAAATGCATTTCTTTATTCATATCTTGTACACTGTTCAGTGTGTTAACATTTCAGATTCTATTTTTAAAAAATTAAAACACAATGAAGACACTATATACAGTACCTTTTCTAAAGCAATATGGAGCTCTTTTTCATATTCTGGTGGCAGTCTCAGGAGTAAGACTTGACAGGCATCTTTAATCAGTGGGATAACACTGAGAAATATTAATATAGCAATAAAAAGAGAACAGAGGGGATCAGCAATGAACCATCCAAACTGCTCTATAAGAATTGTGGATATGATCACACCAATACTGCCAAGTGTGTCTGCCAAAACATGTAGAAATACACCTACAAATGTATAAAAACACACAAAAAAATTACTACTTATATAATTTAGTTCTTCTGTCCATTTTACAACTACTGCTGAGTACCTACTATGTATTGCTATGATGCTGAACGGGCTTTGGCAGACATTCCAAACTGGAAACTACTGAAAATCATATAATGAAAATCCTTTGGCTCACAATGGTCTCATCTCATTGTTTATGGGACAGGTGGTGCAGAAACAGGTATTTTGTTGCTATAACTCGGGAACTGACTTGATGGTAGCTAGCAAGGGCTATGTGTTATGTATTAATGCCAACGGCTTTATTTCAGCATGACTTAAAACACGACTCCTTCTTTCAAGGAATAGTATTGTGGCAAAAAAAGCTGAGTACACAGGCAATGGTTGAGCTAAGTCTTGTCTTTATATTGCTAAATCATTTATATTAACCAATTAAAGAACCCATTATTAAGTGATTAGTATTTCTCCCATTTATTTAACTGTAATAAAAATTTTTTCAGTTCTTTTGTAGTGAAAGTTCATTATATACACTTTTTCTCTTGCTTTTTCCTTTTTATTATTAAAAAGACTAACAATAATATACTTAAAAATTTATGTTTATGAATAAATATGAATATTTTTATAGCAAATTACTGCAGCTCTTTTTCTCTTATTGTTTTTTTCTGGCCCCTTTCCCCTCCCAGCTACAGATTGCTTTTTACAAATAAAACTATCAGAAGCTCAAAATTTACTGAGAGGAAACTCAGAGCTCAGCTGAAAAGTGTGTAATGTGTGGAAGGACTCACCTCTCATGTTGGCATTCATGCTTCTGCCTGAAGATCCGTGGCTGTGCCCATGCCCATGCCCATGGTCACTGTGCCCATGTGCATGGTGTGAATGGCTGTGATCAGATGAGTGACAGCTTCCATGAGAAGCTCCGTGGCTATGGTTATGGGCATGGCTAAAGGCACAGATACCAATAAGGTTTACTATCAGTCCTCCAACTGAGACTGGCTAATAAAAGAGAGAAAAGAAAAGCCTTTAAATCTTTATTTTCTTAATAGGCTTTGCTGTTTAAAAGTTACTAAATAATGACAATGTTTTGTTTACAGTCTTAAAGTACTGACAGAAATATCTAAATTTACCATGCAAACACACAATTTAAAGATAAAAGATTTCAGAAGAATATTTTAACTTTCAAATACCAAACAAAATTTTGACAAGCCAAGTCAAGTACTATCTACTTGGTTTACATATTACATATTACAGAAAAATAAACAGTACTAATGTTTTGTTTGGAAATATTTATTAGGCAAATAAATACAAGAAATCTTGTCTATATTATGAGGTGAATTTCACAAAGTCAATGAGTAATTATTTAACCAACATATTTTTCCTTACTGTGTCTTGTGTTTACCTTTTCATCTTTCTCTTTTTTTATCCTGAATGAATGATACTGTTTTGACCTAATGGCGCTTCAATGAATATGTCAAGGGATAAACAATCCCGAGACTGTTTATTCTCAACTATTTTTCTCTTGTAAGTATCAGCTCAGGGTGTTATTTAACTTACACAAACAACTACAGTTTCTCCTTTAAAGACATGTATTTATTTTATTTTTATTATTTTTTGTGTGTGTGCCGTCAAATTGGATCTGACTGGTACAGGATGAGATTATCCCCGCTTCTCCAGCAGAGCATCTGGTGGATTTGAATCGTGCACCTCTGGGATTGCAGTGAAGCTTCATGCCACTAGGCCACCAGAGCTCTCTCGTGTATTTATAAATAAAAAATATAAAAATGAGAACATACATATTAATTACTTCCCAAGCAAGAAATTTGTTTTAGCAAACATTTATGACATTTATTTACGTCTTCCATTTACTCAATTTTTATACCAGATTTTCTTTTTTTTTAAATATACCACACTTTAAAATTTCAGTTAGTTTTGAAGTTTGTAGAAGATGAAGATGTTTTAGAGGAAAGCCACATACTAACTGAAACAACTCCCTTATCAATGTTCCTCCCTCTAGTAAGCAGCACCTCAACTCTGTACCCTGCAGTGCTGAAAGTAAAAGTCTCCCATAATTGTATCTCCAAGAGTTAAGTCACTTCTAAGAGTATTTTCAATGTACATACGAATATACATAGTTTTTTTAAACTAACCAGAGGTTCATATATTTTATAATTTGTTTTTCCCTCCACATTATGCATCATGCCAGTATATATAAATTTATCTTATTCTAAATAGTTTCATGGTATTCTATTATGTAGACAACCTTAAACTTATAATTAATTAGTCCCATTCATTGATGAGAATTGAGTTGCTTCCAATTTTTTGGTCACAACTCAACAATGGTATAATTGTTTATTATATACATGTATTATATAGCCTGTAATCACAGGCGTCTGTGAATATTCTTGTATGATAAATATCAAATAAAAGTCAATGAATATAAAAATTTAAGAGTCCAAAGATATTTTTAAACTATAATCCAAAATCATTTCACTTCTCCTTCTACCAACAAGACATGCTTTTATTTCAAATTGATTTTAGTCATTAAATAATTAACTGCCTATTTGTTGGAAAAGAGTATTAAATATAGTATGGACTGCTAAGAAAACAAACAGGTTCATCCTAGAGAGGGTTAAATATGGCTGCTCCTTGGAGGCAAGGATTCTGAAGCTTCATCTGATTTACTTTGGACATGTTGCACAGAGGGACCATTCCTTGGGGAGGGACGTCATGTTTGGGAGGGTGGAGGGACAGTGCAGGAGAGGAAGACCCTTTATGATGTGGATTGATTCAGTGACTAGGGTAATGGGGGTAGGTGTGTCAGAGACAGAGAGACTGGCACAGGATAGAGCAAGTTTTAGGGTTGTTGTACATAGGGTCGCTATGAGTTGCAGGCAACCTGACAGCATATAACAACAAAAACATCTTCTCCTATAAATCAGTTGTTAGAATTTAAGAATGTAATACACCACACAGTTCAGGTGCTGAAAACACAACTTTTCTTTTTAAGATACAACTTAAAAAATTTTTTTTTTACATTTTAATTGTAGAAGACTGGCAATATTAAATGTAAAAAGAAAATTCAATAAACTTTGAGGAGCAAAGAATGATAAAGGGAAATGATCCCATTAGAAGAGAAATGCAAGCATTGATTGAAAAAGGCTGAAGGGCAGAAAAGGGAGAAAAAGTTTAACTATAAATGGCACATTTAAAGATATGAAGATTTAGGGGGATATCATCAAGTCAGTGGCATGAAGGGCAAATTGTTCAGACTGGGTGAAAACCATGGGAAAAGGCTGGCTTGTTTTATAACTAATGAAAAAGCCATAATAGAATTCCAAGCAGGAAATAAATGATCAGATTTGCTTTAGAAAATCACTCTATGACTGATCACTGAAAGACTGGACCCTGGAGGGAGAGAGATATAATACAGATGAGGAGACTACTATATAATGGTCAAGATTACTAACATCTGTTGAGGACCCAGGTGAGAGACAGAGTGTCTGTAAGTGAGATTAAGTGTGAGAAACAGTGTGTGGGAGAGCGTGAGCTGAATAAGCTACTTCTTGTTGTATGCCAATCGAGTACAACTCACTGCATCCCTAGAAACAACAGATCTGAACTCTGTCCTATCCTACGCCATTCTCATCATCTCTTACACATTTGAGCCCCATTGCTGCAGTCACTATATCAATCCATCACATTGAGGGTCTTCCTCTCTTTCACTGACTCTCCACCTTTTGAGCATTACATCCCTTTCCAAGGAATAGCCTCTCCTAGTAACATGCCAAAACTACATGAGATGAAGCTTCAGCACATTTGCTTCCAGGGAGCACTCTAGCTACATTTTTTCCAAGTAGCTCACAGGCATCAATTTCTGTTGTCATCTTTATTCCCTGGCCAGCTTTCACATGCACAGCAAGTGACTGAAAAGTCCATGGCCTGAAATGGGCAAAACTTGGTTTTCAAGCTGACATCACTGGTCCTCAGTAATTTGGAAAGGTCCCTAAAAGTGATTTCCCCAGTATAATATGTCTCTTAATCTCCTGATTGCTGGGGCCAAGGGTATTGATTGGATCAAAGACAGACAAAATCATTGATAATTTCAATCTTTTGTCCATTTTTCATGATGTTGCCTTTTGGCTCAGTGGTAAGAATTTTTGTTTACTTGATGTTGAGAGGCAAAGCATTTAGAGTCTTCCTCACTTTTAGCAAGCAAGGTTGTGTCATCTGCATAACCAAGCTGTTGATGAGTCTTCTCATTTTTTTAATTGAGATTTAAAAGAAAGTTTATAAAGAACTTAGATTTCCATTCATTCACTGTTGCACATTTCCTCCCTGTCCCCCCACCCCGTTCACTTTTTTCTATGTAATAAAGTTCTTTCATTGGTATACAGTTCCTCCCTCCCCCTAAGACCACAATACCATGCAGCTCTTATTCTGGACTCTTGTCATGCCAATAATACCTAAATCATACATTCCTTTTATACAGTTCTCTCCCTTGTGTCTCAAAGCTTTGTACATTTCTTAGTTTTCTCCCAAACCTCATGTCAGTCCTGTTTTATAACAGTGGTATTATGCAGGATTTGTATTTTTGTGACTGAGCTATTTCACTCAGCATAATGTCCTCCAGGGTCACCCATTTTGTATATTTCATGAGTTCCTTGTTTTTCAATGCAGCGTAGTATTTATTCCATTGTGTGAATATACCACAGCTTTTCTATCCATTCATTGTTGATGGGTCACTTGGGTTGTTTCCAACTCTTTGCTACTGTGAAAAAAACCAGCTATAAACATGGGTGTGCATATATCTGCTTGGGTGGCAGTTACTTTGGGGTATATTCCCAGCAGTGGAACTGCTGGGTCAAATGGTATCTCTATTTGCAACTTTTTGAGAAAGTGCTATACAGCTTTCCATAGTGGTTGCACCATTTTACACTCCCACCAACAGTGAATAAGGGCTCCATTTTCTCTGCAACCTCACCAGCATTTGCTGTTCTGTTAAATTTTGCTCTTCTTACTGGGGTAAGATAATACCTCATAGTTGTTTTGATTTGCATCTCCCTTAGAGCTAGGGGTTTTGAACATTTCTTCATGTGTTTGCCAAATGAATGTCTTCTTTGGTGAAGTGTCTATTCATATTGTCTGTGCCCATTTTTCTATTGGGTTCTTTACCTTTATCTTGTGGTGGAATCTTCTCTGATCTTGATGTCACATTCTGCTTCATAGAGTCCAGGTTTTTAACTGATTTGCTCAGCATACAGATAGAATAAGAATGGAGAAAGGATACAACACTGACACACACTTTTCCTGATTTCAAGGTGTGCAGTGTTCCCTTGCTCTATCTGAACAACTTCTTGGACTAGGTCTAGGCTTTATATGATCATAATTAAGTGTTCTGTGATTCCCATTCTTTTCAATGGTAGCCATAATTTATTATAATCCACACAATAAAATGCTTTTGCATAATTAATAAAACACAAATTTTTCTGGTATTCTCTGCTATCAGCAAAGATATCCCTGGTGTCATACATAGCCTTTTACTGTTTTGGTCATTTTGGGTGATCTTCAGCAATATTCTGCTTGCATGTGACAATAGATAATGATGTATCTGCCTTTATTTCAAGTACAGTTTTCGGGAAAAAAATGAAAACGTAATAATAATTGTTCTATATTTACATCAGTATATTTTAAGAAAATAAAACTCTCAAAAGGGTAATGACTACACAAGGTACACAAAAATAAAGAGCAGATCTTCCTCTTAACCTATGTCCAGCCACTAGATTATCTGATTGAGTGATACGAATTTTTCTGTCTTCTTAACTGGATAGTCTAAGCACTGATTATGGATCCTACTTACGTACAGTCTATACAAAAAAAGTAGTAGTATTAGTATCATACAAGACTAAAGATTAAGATTATACAAGTTTAGTATTATACAAATATAAACAATTACAGAATATAAGTAAAACTTCAAACATAACCTAGCTAAATTAACATTGAGTTGCGTTGTCGACGAAAAGGCAAGGAGTTCAAACCCACCAGTTGCTCCATGGAAGAAAGATGAGAAATCTCCTCCTGTGTGATTTATAGCCTCTAAAAACCTGATGGAAGGTCAGCTATTAGCTGGTCCTGACTCAAATGATCAATAGTAACAACTCTATTTCTGGTTTCTAAGTGGTGAAAGTAGTTAACTCTTCAACTAACTACTAGCTAGATAGATGGGGGTTTGAATATATCCAGAGGAAAACTAGAAGATGGTCTGCTTTTGAGAGGTCTGGAGCAGTTTTACTTTGCACACATGGGAGTCTACTTAGGGGCAATGGTAGAACCAGTCTATAAAGTGTTAAATGTGAACTTGGTACTAAAAGCATTAAGAAACATAGGAAGTTTCTGAAACAAGAATCTGGGGTAGTTATATAGTTTTTTAAAAAATTAGTAAAAATTTAGGTTTTAGCCTCAAGTCTATTTGAGACCAGGTGTGAAATAAAAGCATTTCACGTGACTTCTGGAATTCAATTCTCTCATCTGTAAAATAATAGGAATGGATTAGATGACTTTTCAAGTTCATCTCCAAATTCTGCAAGCCCCTGGTACTGCTTGAAATTGTGGCAAGGGATATTTGAAGGGAGCTTTTAAAACAAAGCGGTAGTGTCACTTTGTCTTTAATACTGTACCAATTATACTGCACCAGCAATGCTTAAATTCTGTATGAGAGCACTTTACCTTAATTTAAGGGAACCAGACTGTGGTTCCCATCTCACCTAAGGGGTAAGGAACAAGTCTTTTAAACTTAGCTTACTGTAAAGACTTAAAAACTCCACTTCCCTCTTGATTTTTAAAAAGCTTTAACATTTTGCAAATTCCTTTTGATATTTAAGAACACATGATGAAACAAAAACATTTAACAAGTCAGGAAAACCTGTTCTACAATGTTATAAAATATTTTTTTACTATCAAAATACCAGAAGGAAAAAAAAAAAAGCATTAAGAGCCAGTAGTGTAAGGGAGTTTTGGGGGCCTAGTGGCAGGAATCTGCGCTGCAATCCTGAAGGCACACGATTTGAATCCACCAGATGTTCCACTCCTCCCCACCCAGAAGTGTAAATGTAAATAAAAATTTATTTATAATTTAAACAAATTCTATTTTCTTAGATTAATGGTTACATGGAAAAACTATGATTACAAGAGTAGAAATTCAAACAGAAAAGTGAAAAGACTTACCGTTAACATGTGTGTATCTAATTCTGGAGGGTCAATCAATCTAGCCACTGACTCCATGAACACAAAAAAGGCTATTACCATTAGAAAAAGTCCATTAATAAATCCAGAGAGAATTTCTATTCGGCCATACCTAAGAGAGTGGGATATATTTTTAGAAAAGGAAAATGACAAACGTGCTTTAAAAAATAAATATTATTCCTTTAATTAAGAAGGAGAAATAAGCCGAGATTTTCACACTATGTAAATTACATATATGATTACAGAATTACCAATATTTTAAACATCTTACTAATGCTGGAGAGCCCTTCTATACATTTTATCTGCTGAAATTTTACAAGTTCATTGAGGCATGCCTTTAGCAGGAGGTCTGTTCTTTCCTACAAAAAGTCTTAACTATCCTTTGGCAAGAAGTTATTTCTCCTTTTAATCTTTGTTGTGCTCTGTAAATGGCATACTCTTATTTACTGAGATTATTTCTATTTCAGCTCATAATTTTTCAAAATATAAACAATTGAGACTAAGAACTAAATTTTATTACTCAAATACAGTTCACAAAACAATCACTCTAATATTTGAAGTAAATCAATTTGTTTAATTAAAGGATGTTTTCTTGCACAGTCATTTCAAATTCGGAATGCTTTTTTAATAGCAAGGATATAAATGATCACCTATATTCTCTTGCCTTGGAGAAACATGTCAGGCAAGGATCTAAACATTTTAACTGGTTTTGTTGTCTGTAAGTGAGACTTTGTTAGGTAAACAGTCTCACAGCTTGCCGGTCAGCACTTATCCAAGTTTGCTTCATTTCCTCTTACCTACTTCACATGAAAGAAAAAACTTACTTTACTTTAAATTTGAACTTATTTTTCATATGCTCTAGCAACTTGACTGTAGTGCAGTTTGTAACATGCTGGACTGCTAACCAAAAGGTCAGCTGCTCCTTCCATAAAATTTCAGTCTCGGAAACATCATGGAGCGTCACTAAGCATAAGAACAGACATGCTGGCAGCAGGTTTTGGGTTTAGATCTAATATTCAATGTACCCACCCATAGGAGAAAATCCGAGTTGCTTTCCATCGACTCATCAGGGCAGCAAAAAGTCCCATGACCAAAGCCGAGCAGTCAAAGAGCATGTGAAATCCATCAGAGATCAGACCCAGACTATTGGTCAGCACGCCATAGAATAATTCCACAAAGGTAAAAAGCTAAAAAATTAAACCATTAAAAAATTGGCAAGGAGTACATTGGGAAATAGTGTTTGAATATAGATTTATCAGAATTTATTCATAAAGATTTCAACTCTTAATTGCTAAATCTTATTCAAAGAAATCATACAAGTCTGTAATTTTTGTTACCTAAAAGGAAGTTAATTTATACTAAAAATCTATTATACATTTCAAGAAATACTAAGGTGGTGGGTAGAGTGGGGGGAAAAGATGGAACAAAACAAAAAAAATGGTTTTAGTAGATTTTTTTTTTGGCGCTAGGCTCACTGGTCCAATAGACTGGCAGAACCTAGAACCCCTGAATCTGGAACAAGACTCATCCTTGAGGCTCAACCTGGTGCCAAACAACAGATAGGACTATCAGGTAACCAATAACACCAGGAAGGTACCCATTCTCTAAAATAACCAACCACATAAAGTCAAAAGAGCATCAGCTACCCATGGATAGAGCCCTGAAGGCAAGAAGGGGTAGGATAAATTAATGGAAATGAGACTTACACACAAGGAGGTAAAGTGGAGTTACTACAGTATCTTAAAAAACTCATGGCTGTTAAGTCAGAGCTCACCCTCCAATGGGTTTCTGAGGCTATAATTAGCACGAGAGGAAACTGTCCATCTTTCTCCTGCAGAGGTGAATGAAAACTGGCAGAGGCTTGGCCTTTGAGTTAGCAGCACAACCTCAAACAGATGAGGCCACCAGAGCTCTGGTGCAGCTATTGTAAGGAATGTTCTAAAACAAAATATATTATGAATGATTGAATGAAAAATCATTTTCTAAAAATACTAAGTTCTATCAGGCAGTCTTCTTAATGATGAATTACAATTCTAAATAAACTAGGTTACAAAATTCTAGCACTGAGTAGGCCTGTACTTCTAAAACACCTAAGATAATCCTTGTGTAAAGTAGTCTGAAAAGAACCCTTGTTATCTTCATACTGATAATAAACTACTAATACTGTGGGCAAATTGAACTACAAAGTTTATTTTGTCTCTATCAGAAGACTTAAGGATTATAAAATTATTAGAATTGTTAAAACATTAAGCTGCTAATGTCACTAGTATCTAAAAATCTTACCAGATTCAAGCATAAGAAGTAAAAGATTTGCCTAGAATCACTCTCCTCTAGAATTTGTTTAAGTGATTCCTTAATAAACCGGGGGATGGACTGAGAACTATGCTGAAATGCATCACCCATGAAGTTGTACAGAGGTGTTCCTTCAGGAGAATAGCCAATAAGGGTACCTTTCTGTCCTTTCTTAGAAGGAGATGACAAGATTTTAGCAGCTATAAAATAAAAAAAAAAGGGAAAATTATTACAAAAGTTTTAATATTTCAGCTCCTTAAACCAAATATGCTGTGAGCACTAAATGTGAATAATTTCAATTCCCCAAATTAAGGAATTTTTGAATATCATAATCTATACAAAGAGTACTGTAAAAAAATAAAGAGAAAATGCTTACACAAAATGAAAAATACCGCACTCACTACCACTCCTCCAGACAGGACATGTTCAGTGCTTTCTTGATGAGTGGCTCTGTTCATAGCTCTAAGCTGGTCTGTTATGGGATGTGTCCAAAAATTTCCAAAAAGGAGAGCACTAATGAAAATGGGAAATGATCCATAGCGAGCACATTTGGAAATGTCCATTTTGACTAAACAAATGGAATCCACATAGAAGTCCAGGATCATAACAAAAAAGATAACCGTTACAAAAGGCATAATGAGAGAAAACCAAGATTCAACTTTACTCTGGAAGGGAAAAAGAAAGAAGAGCCTTGTTAATATTACGTGAGTAAAAAAGCTCACCTCTTGTTTGTTTTAGGTCATGCTTTCATGTATAAACCATTAGTTTCATGTTTCAAAATAATTTAGAAAAGGTCAAAACACAAGCAGCTTAAGACACTGACTTTCTCTCCCCCCTGCCGCCTCCTCCCCAGACAATGACATTTTTATAATATTGCTCTCAGTATTAAAAACCCAAAAGCAAAAAAAAAAAACAAAAACAACCCAAAACAAAATCAAAAAGCATTACCTAATAAGTTTACAAATACTAGTTGACCTATCATTCCTCTATTTAACACACAACAGATATTGTTTCACTGATTCCTTCTCACCAGAGAATTAAGAGGAATCTGTAAATGTGTTTGAATTATATTTTCTATAGACAATAAAATGAACTGTTTTTCAACAACTATGAAGAAAAACCATAGTTGAAGCAACTTTCATTATTAAAATAAAATGCAATCTAATGATTCAAAATTTACAAAGCATGCTCTAGTGGACAGGGTGCTGTGCTGCTAACTGAAAGGCATCAGTGTTTTGGCAGCTTCAATCCACTAATTGCTCCCTCAGGAGAAGAGATTGGCACTCTCCTCCCACAATAGCCTCTGACAGCTTGCTGGAGGGTCAATTACGAGTTGGTTCTGACTTGACTGCAATAAGTGAGTGAAGCAAAAACTTGTAAGTAATTGAACTCACTGCTGTCCAGTCAGCTGTGTCCACAGTGACGCCCCATGGGTTTGCTGAGGTTGTCCATTTCAGGTGGGGAGACCACCTATCTTTCTCCCGTGGAGCTGTGGTGGGATTCGAACAGCTGGAGCTGTGTGGCCTTTGAGTTAGCAGTGCAACCTGCTATTGACTACACCACCGTGACTTATAAGTAATAGCAATCCATTTTACCTATTTGCAATCCATTTTGTTCTTACCTCAGTGGTCAGAGAAAGCACAATAACCCATGGACACAAAAGCAACACAGAAACAAGATGAGATAAAGCCTGAAGACGTTTGGCTCCACCAACATCAATTGAGAGCTTTCTGGAAGCTGTGTGAAAACCAACTTTACAACACAAAGCCAGTACTAACAATAGTACTCCACCCTACAAATAAAATGAGGTAAGTTTCATTAAAACAGTCCAAAATGGAATTCTTAAATTTACTCTATTTGAAGAAATGGAACTAGTATCTTTATTTCCTTAAATTATTTAATATGACTGACTTAATTAGAAAGCAAGATTGTAAATGACTTCTAACATATTTTAATAGAAAGTTAAGCTGCCTGTAATATTTCAGGATTTTTGGGTCATGCTAGGAACAAAAAAAAAAAGGAACATACCTTGTGATCTGCCACCCCGAGGAAGGCAATGGCTGTGTAAAGCATGTGGGTGAAAGCACTGTCGTGATGGCCTTCAGCTGAGGATGGAGGAGTGAAGGAAGAAAAATGCCAATAATCAACGCAAATTGCAAATTCCTTCTCAAGTTTCAGCTACAATTATTTTTGGTTGAACACAGCCAATTCTAGTTAGAACACTTGTCTATTCTTGACATGTTTCTTTAAAAGACTAGAAAACCAAATCCTACCAGAATTATTATTTTTTTTTTTAAGGTAATTCTCCAAAATAATTACAACAGTCTTTAAACTACTGCTGTTAAATTTTAGTACCTAAACTTCTAAATAGTCACTGGGGCAATGGCGATTGGTGTATCGGAATCAGACTGGCTCAGGACAGAGCTGCTGTATGCAGGGTCACTATGGGTCACAAGCAACTCCATGGTATATAACAACACCACTTCTACAACCATGTATTTGTTTTATACCTAAATTCCTAAAATCATGTATTTATATACAATAAATAGGATATAAAGAGAAGAACAAGGAACTTTCCTGACTATTCTTGCCCAGTAGAGTTAAAGGTTCATCCTTTCAGAACGACATAGAAAAATCTGTCCTTTTTCTATATCATGACCCCTCTTTCACTGTACTATCTTTAAGTGTTTCTGAATTGGACTAAGTTAATAGTTGACCCTGCAGAATGTTTTTCAGATTTACTACAGAAGATCAAAGATTATGGCCTTCATATGCCTCTCAATGTCAAGAAAACAGAAATTCTTACCATTGGCCCAGTAGGCAATATCATGAGAGATGGAGAAAAGACTGAAACTATCAATGACTTCATCTTACTTGGGTCCACAATCAATACCCTTGGTATCAGAAGTCACGAATCTTTCCAAATTATTGAGGACCAATAATGTCTGTTTGAGGACCAAGGTGTGCCTGTTTCAGGACACTGTCTTTTAAGTTACTTGCTATGCATCTGAGAGCTGGACAATAAGGAAGACAGAACAAAAATTGCTATCTTTGAACTGTGATGTTGGGAGAAGGGTACTACTGAAGATGCTATAGACTGCTCAAAGAACAAACAGTGATGTCTCTTAGAAGGTGCACCCACAGTGTTCCATGGAGGCAAATATGATGAAACTTTATCTCGCCTACTTTGGGCATGCTGTTAGGAGAAGTTATTCCTTGAAGATCACCATATTTAGAAAGGTGGAGGGTCAGCAAAGAAAAAAAAAGACCTTTGAAGAAATGGACCGTAACAGTGAATGCAGAAACTGGCTCTGGTATGTCAGGAAGTGTGAGGATGACACAGGATAGGCCAAGGTTCAGATCTGTTGTTTACAGGGCCACTATGAGTTGTACTCAACTCAACAGTACCTAACAGCACAGCAAATGCACAGGAGGAGATTGCCCAGTTTTCTCCTGAACCAGGTGCATTTGCAGTACAACTTCTTAATCACTAGGCCATCAGAGCACCCTCACTATAACAAAGTACATTATTATGTTTTTTAACAATTTTTGTTAGACAGGGATATGCCTTGGAAAGGGACATTATGCTTAGAAATGTAGAGGGTCAGTAAAAGAGAGGAAAACTTTTAACAAGATGGACTGACACCTAACAAGAACAGTAAATTTTAGGTATTTAAACAGAAAAATTAAGACTTGTGTTCTAAATTCTGCTCGACTAGGCAAAGGTGTGCAGATGAAAACCATGTACATTTGTAGAGACCAATAGGTTTTTTTCTCTCCCCTACTTTGGACAATAATTATCTAGGACAAAAAGTGTGAATACATGGTTAATAAGTACGTTAATTATCTTTTAGGCAAGAAAATGATTAAGGCTTTTTTCTGCTTCATATCAAGAATGTTTTTACATATAATAATTGCCTATTATTTTTTGCACAAACATTCAAATTGAAGTATGTGCTTCCTGTTGTTAGCTGCCACCAAGTTGAGTATGACCCATAGTAACCCTATGAACAACAGATCTTAACCCTATCCTATCCCATGCCACTCTCACATTCTCTAACACACCTAAGCTCACTGCAGTAGTCACTGTGTCAATCCCTCTGGTTGAAGGTCTTCCTCTTTCTCGGACCTTCCACCTTTCCCAAGAATAGCCCTCGTAGCAACATGCTCAAAATATGTGAGATGAACTTTGCCATCCTTGCCTCCAAGGAGCTCTCTGGCTGCACTTTTTCCAAGACATCTGTGTTCTTTTGGCTGTCCATGGGATATTCAGTACTTCAATAGCACAGCTCAAAAAAATCAATTTTGTCATCCTTATTCATTGTCCAGCTCTCAGATGCACAGCAAGTCATCAGAAAGACCATGGCCAAAAGTAGGTCTTAGTCTTCAAATTGACATCATAGATTCTTAATAATTTGGAGAGGTCTGTGTGTGCAGACTATCCCAGTGCAACACGTCTCCTGATTTGCTGACTGCTGGTACAAAGAGTGCTGATTATGGATCTAAGTAAGATAAAGTGGTTGACAATTTTAATATTTTCTCCATCTATCATAATGCTCCCTGTTGGTCCAGTGGTGAAATTTTTTTTTCTTGATGTTGTGATGTAATTCACAGAATTGTAATAAACAAAGGTGCAAACAAACTGAGTGGGAGATTATGTATTTTTCCTTATTAGCAGGCTATTCTAAAATATTGTTTTGCTGTTCCTCAATTTTTGACTATTCAGGGTGCTATTGAGGATATTGTTATTGCTGTTGTTATGTACTGTCAAGTTGGAAGTGACTCATAGCTGACCCTCTGGCAAGTTTTCAGAGGCAGTTAATTGCACAGGAGGAGATGAATGCTTATCTTTCCCCTGAAGAGCAGCTGGTGGATTCAGACTATGGGCTTGTGGGTTGGAAGCACAATTCCTTACCACTAGGCCACTAAGCTCCCTGCTGAAGATACTGGGTACTATAAAATATTTATATATAACTACTGATTAGAACATCTGCATGTATCAATGAATGTTTCACTCAGTATTAATTAGTCTGATTCACCTGTTCTTCTATTCTCATTCTATAGTCTCCTATTTTTCCTGTATGATTTTAAATAATTTCAAACTACTGCAAAGGATACGGTGTTCAGCCATTTTGGCCATGAGATCATCATTGTCGAAAAGCAATAAGCAGATAACACCAATAATGAAAAAAGCAGCCCCTCTTGTCTGGAAAAAAAAATTGTTAAGGATAATTGTTAAAGGATTGATTAAAATTATCATTATATGGATGCTAAAATGTTTAAAAGAAACATAAAAAAAATGGTATTAAACTATATAGTATAAATTCATTACATAAATGGCAAGGTATAATAATTAAGAGCTCCAATAAACTCTGCAGGATACCTAAAGAACATTTACGATACACAGTACTGATGACTTCAATCATCTCCCTGCTAATACTGCTGGATAGGCATGATACTGTACATAAGCTGTGACTCACTGTTCAGAGAATGAACTTTCCTATTTTCAGTAAGTAGGACTTAGGGAGCTCTGCTGGCCTAGTGGTAAGAAGTTGTGCTCAAAACCACATGGTTTCACCAGCTGCTCTGCAGGAGAAGGATGTGGAATCTCCTCCCATTCAATTTACTGCCTCTGTAAACCTGCTATCGGGTCAGCTATGAATTGGTTCTGACTCAAAAGCACACAACAACAACAACAAATCCTACTTCTGGTTTAAAAGGTCAGGAAGCTAATGAATAGTAGAGATTTGTTTTGTTCTCTAAGACTGTATATACAGTTAACTTACAATAACACTTTTTAAAACATTAATTAATTAATTTTTCATTTCAATGAACATCTACAGAGATTTTGGAATTCCGTTCATCCAATAACATGAATACTTTTTTTTTTTTTTAAATTTAGGTTGTTAACATGAATACTTTTAAGTAGTCATAATACTGTGACAGTTTGAAACACAGTTATTCTTTTCTAGGGAATAAAGAGGACATTACTAAAATTAGCAAAGTGATTTCTAACATCTATCAAAGATATAATCCATTTATATCTTTATATCCAATCACTGATAAATTTTTTCAAGCTCAAATTTCAAGTGAAAGGATTTCGAACAAAAAAGTCTTTTGTCTTTTTTTCCCACTTTTTAAAATTAATCTTTTTGTCTTTTTTGTGATTTACATTTTGATTTATTATTTAAAGCCTTCAGATTTAAAAGGTACACTGAACTTTCATCTTAAAAAATAAAGACTGAACAGTTCTATGTGCTTCTCATGTACAAAGTTAAATAAACACGTGCATGCTCACACTTATACAAATGTATAGTATATGATGACTGACTTGGGTCAAGCACTCTTGTTAAACTGGAGGTAATTATTTAACCCTTTACTCAATCCACAAGGACGGACTGCCGATGGTGGAGGTGGGAAGCAGGGGTGAGAGAAAAATAGAGAAAGAAAGGGGACAGAATACATAAATCTATGTGCATAAATACTTACTATGTATACACATAGATAACTAGGTATAGATAAATCTCAAAAAGGCAGGAACAAAAAAAATACCAAAGTACACTTGCATTGTGGCAGCAGATAAGAGAATTAGGGTTAAGGGGGAGATGGTTAAGATCTATTACAGTTTTTTGAAGATTATGGTATTAACTTTTACCAAATTTGACTGCCATTCCTCTCCAATGAAACAGACGTTTTAAGAGGAAGGAGTTCCTTACAGAAAATGCTTTGTGTTCACATAAATCTGTACTATTCAGAACAAAACAATTTGCTGGCAGAGATTGTGTGTTTGCAGGAACATTTAAGCTTTCATTAAACTGGAAAGCAAGTAAATCTTTATGTCTACAAATTATACATTTAGTAGTTCCACAAATTTGGCAAAGTTTGAGATGCCATCTAGCATGTTTTCACCAAATCGTAGACATAAATATGGAAATCATCATCAAACTTGATGAAATAGATGGTTTGGCTTCTACTTGATGAATGACCATGCCAGTCCTTTCTAAGCCATCTTCTTTGGCATATTCCACTTGTTTGCTACAAGGCTGTCCACAACTTCTCCAGGCTCCCTTTCTGCTGGAGGGGAATCATTAGGATCAGGTATGATGAGAAGGTCACCTTCTTTATAGTCTTCTAAAAGCTGGTACATGTACAAGACAGGTTCTTTCTCATAGGTAATGTAAAACCATGTGTTCACTCTAGGTGCACGTGCTATGACCATTCCCTTCCATTCATCTTGAGAACCATCCTCAAACATATGTTCCACAGCTTTGACAATCATTGTGTCTGCTAAGTGTGTAACGCTGATTCGAGATGTTGCAACTCTATCAGGGAGGACTGCAAATGCAGAAACTCTTTCATCTTTAATAAGTACTAGTCCATAAACACAGTCAAATCCATTGTGTTTTATAAGATACAATGAAGGATTTACAGGAACCTGATCCAGAACTGTTCCTTTCCAAGGTGTAACGGGTTCATTTCCTTCTTTCCACCCATGCTGAATTCTGCAGCCCACGATGTCCCGCTGGGGCTGGGAAACTGGTTTGCTGGGCCCCACGCTGCTCCGATGTTTTCCCAGAATGCAAGCAGGTAAAATCAAGTTGCCAAATGCAACAAACAACAGAGAGGCCACAGTCAGCAGAGGGTCTTGTGAGGAGCCCTGTTCTATATCATGTTTGCAGACACACCAGCATGGCCTGTATCAGCTCTGGACTTCTGGCCAGGCGTCTTTCCAAATAGTGTCTTCATTCATCTGTATTTAAGCTGCAAATGTGTTTCTAAGCACGGCTGTCAATTTAAGAAGTGTGCGGCAACGTGTTAAGTGAGTGGCACAGGTGCTGGACTAGGGTGAAAATTCAATACTCTCCAAGTGGAAACTTCTCACAAAACAGTAATGTTCTTGTTAATCAACCATCTAAATGTCTCTTTTACGAAATCAGTAAAAATACATGAATTCACCTGTGAAGTTCCCCTGCCAACATGTCAGAAGACTACCGTCTGCAAACCCCAAAAGGATTCCCACCGGCCCTCTTCTCAAGTTCCTTGAACGGTCCAAACCAGAGCCAGACGGCGCCTCCCCACTCCACAACTCTACCATCTATTGCCTCTTTTGTTTTTTTTTTTTAAAATTACAGAATGGACACATCAGCAGCTTATGCAGATATTTAATGTCAGATGTAAAAGCAATTTAAAAATATTTTAATACATTAATGGTGGTAGATATTTTAGCAAAAGTCAGTATATAGAATCCTGTATCTTAAAATGTGTTATAATTTAATTTGAATGCTCAAATACAGAGGCCATAATTTAATCCTGTTGAAAAAAAAGAGCAACCAAGGATTTTTTGTTGAAAAGGAGAGCAACTCCGAATTATCCTTTAGTCATAATTAACAATGAAAAATTCATTGAGTCCAAGACAGTGGTCCAAATTCTTTACTGGTGTCAGAGAAGATGTAAAATCTCTGACCCTTATTGCTGAAAGTAAGTGCAGTTAAACTTTTTTTTTCCCCTAATGTTTCAAAGTTATTTCTTTTTCCTTGTTTTCTCATTTTTGGCTGTGAGGGTCTTAGCATTTTTCTTAACTGACTGGGTGAAAACGACCTTTAAAGAAATGAAAAATTGTTTTTTTCCTCTTGGTTTATGTTCAGAAAATTCTTCTCCACCCATAGATAAAAATATCCATCTATATTTAATACAAAGTTCAAAAACCCATAAATCCAGACACTAGCACATTTTTACCCCCACCATATGGAATTCTTTTTTTCTATAATTATATTTTATTAATTTTCATAAACATTTACAGAGATTTTGGGTTTCCATTCATTCATTGTTTCACATATGGAATTCTTTAATCAACCTTTAGTACATGCTAACGTATCCTATTGGTGAGGGGGAAGATTAATATTAACGATACAATTGGAAACCAACAGACTCAGTACTCCTTTATCCTTAGTAGACTTAGTACTTTATTCATCTGTCTCTCTGCTTAGTCTGAAAAATCCCTTTGAAAACTAAAGACATATACCTTCCTTTAATTCTCTTCTTTCTTTTCTTTAGGACAATGAACTACACATGTTGTTAGATACCATGGAGTCAATTTCAACTTCAACAATACCATGTAACAGAGAATTGCCCCGTTGGGTTTTGCTGGCTGTAATCTTCATGGATGCATGATGCCAGGTCTTTTTCCAGTGAATGAAGCTACCAGGTGGGTTAAAAATGTCAACCATTTGGCTAGCAGCTCAGCCTTTAACTCTTCGGTGCTTCTTATATATAGAAAACATTTGAGAAAATATTTATGGAGACTTAAAAAGTCTGCATCAGAAACTCATGTATTAATAAAGGAGGCAGAGTGATGGCTATTTGAGACAAAATAAATGTCCAGCAGACTGCAAGTATAATGGACTTTAATAAGCTCTTAAGTATTTTCCCAAAATGATTTATGAGTATTAAGACTTAAAAGAATTAGAATGGGTACAGCATGTGCAAAGGAAAACTTTGTGGGGATCAATCAGGGTTCTCTTTTGATTGTGGTGGTGATTGTAGGATTCAATACATGTTAACGTTCCATAGAGATACACAATTAATGTATGTAAACCTAGAAAAATCTGAACAAGGTCTATCAATTGAGCTAATTTCAATTTTCTGGTTTTGCATTTGTACTTGAGTGGGTTACATGGTATTGTTGAAACATTTGGCTGTGAGGGTCTTAGCATTTTTCTTAACTGACTGGATGAAATCGACCTTTAAAGAAATGAAAAATTGTTTTTTTCCTCTTGGTTTATGTTCAGAAAATTCTTCTCCACTCATAGATAAAAATATCCACCTATATTTAATACAAAGTTCAAAAACCCATAAATCCAGACAATAGCACACTTTTACCCCTACCATATGGAATTCTTTAATCAACCTTTAGTACATGCTAGCATATCCTTTAGTACATGCTAGTATATCCTATTGGTGAGGGGGAAACTGACCCTATGAAATCTTTCTGTTTTAACTTTCTTATACTGTTTTGCAACTTACTAGGAATCTATAATCATTTAAAATAAAAACATCTGCACTTGTAATAAATATCAAAAAGAGCATTAAAAAACTCTTGCATTCTTAAAGTGATAAAAGAAAACTTTCTATTGCTTAGAGTAACATTTTATACACACACTTTTAATTTTCAAGTAACTAATAATGAAAATGATACCTTTGCTGGTCCTCCTCCAGAACTAGTGAACAAAACACTGAGCAGTGAAATCACAACAATATCACTGTGCTCAAATAGCAGCAATGTCCTACAAAAAGAAAACATTTATCATTCTTTATCATTCATCAACTAGATATGATCTTTATCAGGAAACAAGTAAACAAATGAACAACCCCACCCAACTCTCTCTCTCTCCTGTCCAATTTCATAAAACATGAGAGAAAGAAATGACATTATTGCTTCAGAAAAAAATTTTGGCACTATTTACCTTAGAAAGGTTAAGGCTATTAATAACCAGTATTACAACTCTTAGCATTATGTGCCATATAGAATCCTTATTATACAGTACAAGGAAACACTTAAATGACTGTTCAGAGCATTATTTGTTATAGTCTTTAACTGGAGTCAACCTAAAAAAAGTTTAACATCTTAACCAGACCATCACTAGATCTTAACATCCACAGATGGGAGAATGGATTTCAATCTATTCAACAGAATATACTATAAAGCAGCTAAGAAATGAATTAACCTCAGCAAACAGACAAAAAACTCATATTGAATGAAAAGTTTTTATGAAAAAACTACAAGGAAAACCAAGAGAATGAAAAAAGAAAATTTAAGATACTGGTTATATACAAAGGGAAGGAAGAAGACTGAATCTGGAGGGACATATAAGGGTTTCAAATGTATTGTTAATATTTAACTTTTAGGGTTGAGTACAGAATATATCAATGTTTATTTTATTGTTTTTCAAACATATCTATACTTAAAAAACTCTGGGAGCATAATGGTTAAGTGTTTGGCTACTAACCAAAACTCTGCAGTTTGAATACAACCAAATGCTCCATGGAAGAAAAGATCTGGCAATCTCTCTCTCCTAAAATGATTTCAGGCTAGGAAATTATAGGGTAGTTCTGCCATATTGGATCATTATGAGTCATAACTGACTCAACAGCACATACCATCATCATGAGCACATCTTTCATGGGTATAAAACGAAAAGCAATTGTACTCTTACGTATACATCCCCAGTAGCCAAAAGGAGACTTAAGTCAGTGACCATTAACAGCCAAATGGATAAACACAAGGTGCAAAAGAGACCAATGTGATATTTAAAAGGAATTAACTTTGATATATGCTATTACATGGATGATCCCTGATGAAATTATGCTAGATAAAATAAACTAGACACATAAGAACAAATATTGCATGATTCCACTTATATGAGAAGAGTCCTGGTGGTGTAGTGATTAACTGCTAGCCTGCTAACAAGTGGATCCTGGGGTGATCTTCCATGAAGATGACAGCCTACAGGGGGTGGCTGAGTTAGAATCAACTTGAAAGCACCAAACAACAGGGGTTATGTAAACGGGAAAACTGGGAGTCACTGCTTACAGAGTTTGTCTGAGGTAACAAAAATTTTTGGAAACAGACTGGGGTAACATTTGTACAACACTGTGAGTATAATTGACTATACATTGAAAAATGGTTAAAAAGTTAGATTTTATGTTATACATATTTTACAATACAAAACCTAGTAAAATAAAAAAAAATTACTAAGGGGCTCACAGATCTAATTAGCAGATTTTCAATTACTTATTAAAACTTTTTCTTCTTTAGTAAAAATCTGTAATATGCAAAAGAATGTACAATCATACAGGCCACCGTGGAAAAGTTTAATCGTTCCTTAAAAAGTTAACACAGAACTACCATATGAACCAGGAATCAATTTACCCACAAGACTTGAAAGCAGCAACATGAACAAACACATGCATACCAATGTTCATTGAAGTACTATTCGCAATAGCTGAATGGTGAAAAATCAAGTGTTCATTAACTGGTGAATGGATAAACACAAGTAGGATATTACGTATAAAAAAAATAAGACTCAGCTATAGAGAGAAATGAAATACTGATGTATGCCATAACATGGATGAACTGGAAAAATCTTATGCTCAGTGAAATAATCCATCACAAAAGTTTAAATATTTCTATGATCTTTATCTCATAACTGTAAGAAAGAGTAAGAGTAAGAAAGAGAGTCTAGACAAAATTAGTGGTTACCAGGGATTAGGAGGAGGAAAGGGGAGTTTTTATTTAGGGAATGCTCATTTAGGGATGGGAAATCATGCATATCACAAAATTATACTTATGAAAATTGTGGAATTGGTAAAAGTGGGATTATGTTTTACTACAAAAAACGTGTAATCAGAAATTACTTTAGTTCTGGAAAATTAAAATTTATCCTGTCTCCATACCTTTTCAATCTATATGCAGAACAGATTATCTGGGAGGCTGGGCTCTATGAGGAGAAATGTGGGGTCAAGATTGTGGGGGTGGAAGATCTATCAACAATCTGCATTATGCAGACGACACAATCCTGCTTGTTGAAACTGAAGAGGACCTGAAGCGCCTGCTGCAGAGTGTCAAGGACTGCAGCCTACAATATGGATTGAGGCTCAATGTCAAGAAGACAAAGATTCTCACCACTGGACCAACTGGCAGCATCAGGATGGATGGTGAAGAGATTGAGATTGTACACAGCTTTAGTTTGCTTGGCTCCAGTCAACAGTTTGGCACCAGCAGCCAGGAAATTAAAAGGCACATTGCCATGGGAAAGTCTGCTGTTAGGGACCTCTCCAAAGTACTGAAGAGCAATGGTGTCTCTCTGGAGACTAAGGTGCGTCTGATACAGGCCACGGTCTTCGCAATCACTTGTTATGCATCAGAGAGTTGGACAATGACCAAGGAGGATAGAAGGAGAATTGATGCCTTTGAGCTGTGGTGCTGGAGAAGAGTACTGAGAATACCATGGACTGCTAGGAAAACAAACAGATTTGTCCTGGAAAGGGTTAAACCGGGTGGCTCCTTGGAGGCAAGGATTCTGAGGCTCCGTCTAACGTACTTTGGACATGTAGTGAGGAGAGACCGGTCCTTGGAGAAGGACATCATGCTTGGGAGGGTGGAGGGACGGCGCAGGAGGGGAAGGCCCTCTATGAGGTGGATTGATTCAGTGACTGGGGTAATCGGGATGGGTGTCTCAGAGACAGTGAGATTGGCAGAGGACAGAGCAGAGTTTAGGGCTGTTGTACATAGGGTCGCTATGAGTCGCAAGCGACTCGACGGCACACAACAACAACAACAACAAGTTACTAAGTAAAGCTAATACAAAAGAAAACAGGTTATTACATATCAAAGGAGTCTTCCCCCTCAAGAAACTGCATGATGGCTTCAGTAAATAAGTGAGAGACACAGCGTGCATGGCAGAGGAGCTAGTAGTGGGGAAAGATGATCCCTTTAGCAGTTCATTTAGAAGGTAAAGAATCTGAAGTGATAAATAAACTATCAAGAAAGGGAACAAACGTTTTAAAAGCACTCATCTTAGGGAGCTCTGGTGGCCTAGTGGCAAGAAGCTGCACTGCAATCTCAGAGGTATGCGGTTCGAATCTGCCAGATGCTCTGCTGGAGGAGTGGCAATCTCCTCCTGTACCAGTCAGATCCGATTTGATGGTACACACAAAAATTAAAAAAAAAAAACCCAACAACCCCCCCCACTCATGTTTTTGCACATCTTTCCAAATTCCCTGTGCTCGTAGAAGATGTTTTAAAAAACTTCTCTGTTTCTAAAGCCTTTGAACTATGAGGTAAACGTATAAAGAAAACTATGATACCACTGCTGAGGGGATCCAAAACGAGCGAGCATCAAGCACGTGGCTAAGGTAATGAAGAGCAGCAGCGGCATTGGGAAGGGGACAGCATTCACTGAGCTGGCGTTAACCATCTTCTACAGAACAGCGAGGTCTGGCATCCAAAGCAGCAGAGTTGGAGATGGAATTGAATGTGCATGGCCTACTGACTGATACACTGAAGGAAGCAGATAAAACCCGCTGGTGCTACCCCATAGTTGGTGGGGTGCTGGTTGAGTGCACTGTCCAAGAGGTGCTGGCTTGCCTTGGAGAACACCAAGGAGCAGATCCAGAAGATCACAGACATTGACACAGCAGCTCAGGCAAAGTGAGAGGAACGAAATGAATTCCAGGAAAAGCACAACCTTCCTCTCATGGGGGAAGATGAGAAACCAGCAGCCAAGGAAACTTCAGAAGGAGCTGGGGGAAGGCAAGATCAGCCGGAGTGTTAAGTCTCCTAGGGATGAAGGCATTGTTCCTACCCTGATTCCTAACTTTTAATTTCTCCTTGTTGTTATTTTCTCTGCTATTGGTAATTTTTTGTTGAAACTCTTTTGGACTCTGAATAAAATACCTATGTCAGAACATGAATAATTCAACATTCACCAAAGAAGTAATCCATCACTAAACAGCTTCTCATTTTCTGTTTGCTAAATTGTATGCCAAGTTATGGAAGTGGTAGAAACACTGTATAAAAACAAAGTTACATATGAGTAAATACCTGACATAAAATATAGTGGAGGAAGAACTATAATAGTAAAAATGAAAACAAACAATAAAAAGTATTCATTTACCTTAGTGGTCCACAAAGAGTAAGGCCAAAAAACCACAAGAGTGAGATAATGCACCCAGCAAGAGCATGTTTAAATATTCTGATCCACTATAAATGGGGAAAAAAAATAAATAAAAAATTAAGTCTGATTCAGCCATATTTTGAAACACTTAAATATGGAAAGATAATAATGGGAACAAATGTTTTTAAGGCTATTTTGAAATTAAACAGAAAATACAAAGAGTAATTGACTAACTCCGAATTTGCAAGACAATATTTTATTATCCCTTATCTATATGTTTATCTGTTAAAATTCATAAACAGTTGTCTGCAGAATACACTTTTATTTTTTCCAGTTTCTCACTTGAGAAAACAATATTTAAATTTTAAATTATTTTTCATTAGGAGTTGCGTGTCTGAATTAGTTGAAAAATGAAAATAAAATGTTTGGATTAGGATTATTAATCCTAGTTTTAAAAAATGCTTTTAATCTGTAAAACAGAGGTATCTCTCATACTCAAAATAAAAATCATGGGATAGGTAATTGTGGTATGAATCAAACATAACTGTGGTCTAAAATCAAACAGGGTCCACAGAAATGACAAAGCAATATTATTAAGCAGTATGCAGGACATTTTTGGAATGAAATGTAAACCACAGTTGCCTAATAAGAGTAACGAGTATAATAGCTAGCATGTATTGTCCACTCACCAGGTGCTAGCCACTAATCTAAGAACTTAACATATATTCAGTTATTTCTTACAGCTCTACTACAAACAAAAAAGCCCCACTGCCAGTGAGTAGACTTCAACTCACAGTAACTCTCTTGAGCAGAGTACTATCCATAAAGTTTCCAAAATTGTAAACTTTAGGGAACCACAGGAAACCAATGAAGTTACTATACTCCATGGTTCCTTCCTAGGAAGGCATTATTATGTCTATTCAACAGATAAGAAATCTAAGACAGAAAAATTAAGTAACTTGCCCGTAACTTGCTCAACATGAGTTAGTAAATGAGATAGACGCCAGAGGCCTAATCTTTTATCCCTACTTTATACCTGCCCTCCTAACAACATTTGTTCTGGGATCCTGGGAATATCTTCATGTCTGATTTAGAAATCATTTAGAGTAAGGAGATAATTGGCTTAAATTTTATTTATCCTTTAGAATTTTTTTCCATCAAAATTTGAACATAAAACAAGACTTAAATTCAACATTTTATACACGTTTTGATGGCAATCCCCACACTGTAACCATATTCTTCTCATTTCTCTGTTTCTATTTGTCCTTTCTCATCTTTATCCTAGGGCTAATGTTGACCTTTTGATATTCTATTGTTGACTGTTCTAAGGACTGCATTTCTCCCAAGTGTTAAGGATTTATAGGGCAATCTATTACTTGGCTGGAGATCTGGTGGCGTAGTCTGAAGGGAATTATGTTGTTAACCCATAGGCCAACCCTCTCTGGTGGCTTAAGCCCACCAGCAGATCCATGGTACAAAGATGAGCAAACTCCCCCTGTGTGATTTAAGACCTCTGAAACCCACTGAAGGGTCTGTTATGAGATGGTTATGGCATGATGGCCATGGAGTTTGAGTTCTGAGCTATTGTTTGGAAGAAAGCTGAATTAGGGGGTAATTTCAGCTCTAGACTTAGAGTGACTAAGGGCTCTTGGTACCAGTAGCCAGGAAATCAAGAGACGAATTGCACTGGGAAAATTGGCTGTCAAGGGCCTCTCCAGAGTACCGAGCAACGACGCCAGTTTGGAAACTAAGGTGCGCCTGATACAGTCCATAGTCCAATAGTCTTTGCAATTGCTTACTATGCGTCAGAGAGCTGGCAATGACTAGGGACGATAGAAAGAGAATTGATGCCTTTGAGCTGTGGTGCTGGAGAAGAGTGCTGAATATACCATGGACTGTCAGGAAAACAAAAAGATTCGTCCTGGAGAAGGTGAAACCAGGCTGCTCCTTGGAGGTAAGGATTTTGAAGCTTCATGTGACATACTATAGACATGTTGCAAGGAGGTACTGGTCCCTGGAGAGGGACATCCTGCTTGGGAGAGTGGAAGGACAGCGCAGGTGACAAAGACCCTCAATGAGATGGAGTGATTCAGTCACTGAGGCAATGGAGGTAGGTGTGTCAGAGACAATATGGTTGGCACAGGATAGAGCAGAGTTTAGGGTTGTTGTACACAGGATTGCTCTGAGTTGCAAGTGATTAGACAGCACACAACAACAAAAATGACAACAATGGCTATAGGTTCTGGGGCACTCTTTCACATTGTCAAACATTTTAACATCACAACACTATAGAATTTACTTCTGAAGTCTCAATTTCCAAAAAGGTCATTCAACTCAAGAGTAAGTTAATGCTGATGATGTCTAGTTAGGAACTTAGCTCATTCATTAAGCACTCCTGATCAAAGAATGATACAATGAATAGGAAGCTGCTAAGAATGAAGAATTGGGCAAAAACTTACCTGGTGTTTAGTAATAGTTTTGCCAGAAGAGAATGGCTTTTGAAATAAAATCATAAAAAATGCAGCCCTGTTAATGTAAATATTGAAACATTAAAGTTTAATAAATATTAACACGATGAGTGGCTTTAAGTAAGTATGTTAAAACTAGAACTTAAAAGGTATATTATCCTCTAAAGAAAACAAACAAAATAACCACAATTAGACCCTTTTCTGGTTCATAAGCATGATGATTGGGCGCTCATACTTCTGTATGAGTCACCTTTTAAGCCTTGTTATGGCATAGGCACACTACCCATCTGACATGAAAAAAACCCCCTAAAACCCAAAATTATTCTAATAAGACTCCCATTGCAATAATTTACAAACTCTTCTTTTGGAAGTTTTCAGAAAGAGTTCACAAGTCATAAAGAAGGTTCAATATTTTTTCATACTCCGTAATATCAAGGGAGCTCTGATAGCCTGGTGATAAGGAGCTGTCCTCTCAACCCAAAGACAAGTAGTTTGAATACACCAGTACAGGAGAATGATAGGCGATCTACCCTGTGTAATTTACAGCCTTTAAAACCCCATGGGGGGTTAGCTTATGAGTCGGTTCCAACTTGACTGCATATAACAACAACAAAATACCAAAGAAAATAATTTAATAACTTTAAATTCACTAGTAACAAATTTAAAGATGGGTAACAGAAATGAAGTACTAATTATAAGTCCTTATCTTTTACATTACATTCTATAGTTAAATAAAAATATCCTAGTCAAGAATAATTTTTCATAATTCTAAACATATTCCTAAGAGTATTTAACAGATTTTTCACTCCAAAAAGTCAGTGTCATTTCCATTATCTCAAATAGAGAATTTTTATTTAGAAAGAATTTCTTAATCATATTTGGAATAATATAAATGAACTATGAGATGATTCTATACCATAAAGAAAAACAGACAGCAAACTTAGCCCCGAAAGTAAGGACCATTTATATTCCAGTAAGGTGAGTTTCTGACACGCTAGAGCACTGTTATAACACTACTATAGTCTGGCAATTTCTGGGGTGCCTGAGCCTTATTCAGGAATCCTTACTGTAAAAACTATTTTCATAAAAATACAGACATTCTTTGTGTCTTTCATTTTCACTATCACAAGTGAACCACAGCTCTGGTTGCCTGGGGTAAAAAGCTGTGCTGCAATCCCAGACATGTGGTTTGAATCCACCAGCTGCTCTGCGGGAGAAGGATGGGAATGCCTTCCCATGCAATTTACTGCCTCTGAAAACCCACTGGCAGGTCAGCTATGGGTCAGTTCTGATACAATGGCATCCAACAACAACATGAGCTTACAAAGGCTTTTTTTTTAGAGGCTAGATGATATTCTAGGATATGCTGCAATAGTTAAGGGACTGTAGTCATCATCTATTAAGCCAGATGTTAAAAGAAATTTGCAAGAATCTCATTAACACAAACTAAAGTAGGAGCCTATATTTTGGAAAGCTATTAGAGTATAAATATACCTTTTCTAATGTTTTTGTATCTTAACCTCTATGCTATCATTTAAACAAAAAATTAAATGTCAGGAAGAATATTTTTCACAAAATATTCTATGTAGAATTTAAAAATACACAGTTAAAATAGAATTTAAAAAAGACATTTTTAAAAATATCAGAAACACAAACTTACCCAAGCTTTAAGATAAAAATGAACTGAACAATGTGAACTGCTTTTAGGAGATCGTATGATTCAAAAAGTCCCATTGCCTTAAAAAACTTGGTGAAACATAGCAACACAATATATTTTGTTAACCTGAAAAGTAAAAGCAGAAACAATTTTAGTGCCATGGAAATCACACAGAACTCTGTAATTTTTTTCATCTAATACAGCAACCCAAACCCACTGTCATCAAGTTGATTCTGATTCATAATGACCATACATTTGATTTCTGAAGCCATAAATCTTTGATAACGCTATGTATCTACGAACGAGCAGCTGATGGATTAAAACTGCAGCTCTTTCAATTAGCAGTGCAACACAGAAAATAATATGCCACCCAAGTTCTATCATACAAATAATAATGATAATTGTTAGATATAAAAAAAGAGCACGAGGGTGTGAGAGAGAGAACAAGAAACATCCCAAGAAACGAACAGGCCTTTACTGAGTGGTCCAAGAGGGATGCCAAGTGACCCGGCCCCACAGCACACGGACAGGATCGAAATTGTGCAAGGGCAGTTTGGAGGGTTTCCTTTTTATAGGGGTCCTGAGGAGGACTAAGATGGTACTTCTCGAAATTTGGCGTGTTAATTAAGTTAGGTTTTAGCTATTTTTCATCAAGCTCAGACTCTTATCAGGATCCATTGTTTGGTCTGGTCTTTGATGTGACCAGCTAGGTGTTACCAAGTTTCTCAGGAAGTGATCAAGCTTGGGGGTGGGGGAGCAACTGCCATATTCTTCTTTAATAATAATAAAAATAATACCACCACCAATAGAACAATTCCTTCTGTAGAGTTGGAACAGATTCATAGCTAACCCTCCATTAGCTTTTCAGAGGCTGTAAAATGCACAGGAGAAGACTGCCTATCTTTCTCCCATGTAGCACTTGGTGGATCTGAACACTAGAGAGGTGCCAACTTTGAGTTATAATATACTTTCAGAGTATATAAATACATCTGTATCAATAAGACTATTAAAGAATAGTCTTTAAAATGAAAGGATTCTTGGTTAATTAAGTTACCTGGACTATTCTGTAACCTGCTTTTAAAATTTAATAATCCCTTCAACCCCCAACTTTATCTGCCATGAAGCTAGAAGAGGAATGATATTAGGCTTGCCCCCTCTCTGCTTGCTTTGCTAAGTGACAGTAGCAAACTGAAAGAGCAAACTACACAGAGTCCTGAAAAGGCTCAGGAATTTGAGTCACTAAGAACTTTAGGAGGGAAATGGGAAGTTAAAGAGAGGAGGATTATAAATTAGGAAGGGACAAACCACCATGACAAAAAAGACCAGAAAAAATGGATATTGAAATCACAGCAGTCTAGAAATCTTAAGATAAGCAAAGTCTTACATATTCTCTGTAGAGCTACCTGGTCATTCTCCATACATTTTTGATTTGCTTACTGTTGGGCAGATGTCATATGTGGCTAAAAGGACAGACCTATAAGTTGGCTGGAGTGGCTTCAGGTAATAACCTTCCCTTTAACTGATAAAAAAGCCAAGATATAGTTTCAACTACTTCCTTCTTCCTTAAAGGGAAGAACTGTATCCAACATTATTGAATCCATTTTATAGAAAGCCTGAGTATGTACAGTTAACACTCAGCATGGCAAGGGAAGACACTAAGAACCTGGGTTCCAGACGGTATCATCAGGTGGTCGGAAAAAAAATACCAGCAGCTCCTGGTTTCTTGTATGTGAGAAGAATAATTCCTGTTTTTAAAAATAATCTCAGGCGAGCTCTGGTGGCCTAGTGGCAAGAAACTGCACTGCAATCCCAGAGGTGCGCGGTTCAAATCCACCAGATGCTCTGCTGAAGGAGGAGGAACAATTGCCTCCTGTACCAGTCAGATCCAATTTGACAGTACACACATTAAAAAAAAAAAATAATAAAAAGAAAAAAAATAATCTCAAGCTTACAGAAAACGTGTACAACTAGTACAACTCCCCCCCCCATATTCCCTCTAACTATATTCACTAATTGTCAATATTGTGTATCATTTGCATTACTATTCTGCTCTTCCTCTCTTCATTACTGTGAGATGCTCTTGAGTCAGTTTCAACTCACAGCTTATCTATGTACAAGGGAATGAAAGGAACACTGCTTGGTCCTATCCCATTCTTAAAATCACTGCTCTATCTGTGCCCAGGCTTTCTGCTACTGTTTCAATCCATCTCACTGAGTCACAGTGGCAAAAAACAGGATCCCAGGAATTAAGGGGATACCAACTGAAATGTTTCAACTAACAGATACAGACCTGGATGTGCCTACTTGGGAGGACAGCTGCCTGGCTGGAAGAGATCCATATTTAGTCCCATTACCAAAAAAGGTGATCCAACAGACTGTGGAAATTATCCAACAAAATCATTAATCATTACATGCAAGCAAAACACTGAAGATTATTAAAGAAATATATAGACAAAAAAGTGCCAGAAGTTAAAGCTGGGTTAGAAGAGGCCGTGGCACCAGTTATGTTAACAGCTGATGTCAGATAGATCCTGGCTGAAAGCAGAGAATACCAGAAGAATGTCTGTTTAAGCTTTATCGACTATACAAAGACATTTAACTGTCTGGGTCACCACAAATTATGGCTAATACTGAGAAGAATGGGAATCCCAGAACACGTAATTGTGCACAAGCAAAACCTATACCTAGATTAAGAGGCTGGCTATTCCTTGGAGAGGGAAATAATGCTTTAAAAGGTGTAGGGTTAAGAGCAGATGACTCTCAACTAGATGGATTCAAAGTGACTCTAGCATGAACTTAAGAATGTCTGAAATTGTGAGGATGGCAAAAGAGCAGAGAGGGTTCAGATGTAGTCTATAGGGTCACTGTGAGAAGTACCTGACTTGATAGCATCTAACAACAGCCCCTAAATACTTACACATCCTAAGAAAAGGGAATTTTCTTGTAAAACCAGTTTAGATACCAACTTCAGGAAATGTGACCCAGATATTATACTTTATTTCTTCATAGTTCAATTCTGATAACACCTTTTACAAAACTGCGTACTGCATTTGTTGTTGTAGTGGTGTAGTGTTAAAAATCTATGGCTGATTCTCCAGCCAGTTTTCAGAGGCAGTAAACTACACAGGAAGAGATGCCCATTTTTGTCCTGTGAGGCAATTGGTGGATTTGAACTGTGTGCCTTTGGATTAGCAGCCTAACTCCTTACTACTAACGCCTAGACCTTTAGTTGTCAGGAAGCAACATGAGATGCCGTTAGATAAAAATTAGCTGCTCAAGACAGCTTAGAAAACAAAATTCTTCTTTTTTTTTTTTTAAAAAATTCTTTTTATGAAAGTGAAATAGGTTTAAGTTCCGTTTCAGCACTACACACACACAATCTTAGTAATGCTAATGCTATGGTTTCAAGGACAGGGCCAGGTTCAGATCTGCTGTTCTTATGGTTGCTACGCTTTGCAGTTTTGACCTGATGGCACCTAATAACAATCCTTGAAAGAGGACTCATCAACAAGCTGTTATGCAGATGGTACCATCTTGCTCTTGAGGAGCTTGCTGCAAAGATCAAGGACTTAAAAATGGATTGCATCTTAGCATCAGGAAAACGAAGTTTCCTACCACTAGGCCAATTGGCAGCATTATGATGGATGGGAAAAAGACTGAGCTTGTTAACAGTTTCATCTTGCTTGGATTCACAATCAATACCATTTGAACCATCAGTCAGGAGATCAAATCAAGTTGCCTTGGGAAAATCTGCTGTTAGAGACCTACCTCTTCAAGTGCTAAAGAGCAACAATGTCAGTCTAGAGTCTAAAATGCACTTGATTTAGGCCATGCACTTCACAATTACTTGCTATGCATCTTAGAGCTGGACAGTGGTGACAGAAGAATTGATGCCTTTGAGTTGTGGTGCTGGAGAAAAGTACTGAATATACCATGGACTGCTAAGAGAACACACAATTCTGTCCTGGAGAGGGTTGAAAGCAGGTTGCTCCTTGGAGGCAAGGATTTTGAAACTCCACCTCACATACTTTGCGTGTGTTGTCAGGAGGGACCAGTACTTGGGGAAGGACATCATGCTTGGAAGGGACGGAGGACAGTGCAGGAGAGGAAGACTCAGGAAGAGATGGGCTGACACAGGGACTGTGGCAATAGGGTAGGTGTGGCAGAGATGGTGAGGTTGGGTCAGGATAGGGCTGAGTTCAGAGCCATTGTTCGTAGGGTCCCTATAAGTTGTAGTCAACAAAGTGTACATTCTAACAACAGTCCAGCCCAAAGAATCAAGTTAGTCTTTAAAGTCATAAAGGCAGGATTCAAAACTGAGGAAAATATAACCTTATTATAAATGAAGGCAATGAAACCCAAATCTAGACACTATAGGGGTATATTTTATACATCTTTGAAACGAACCCAGAACTCTGAACAGGTCAGCAGGGAGAGAAGTCACTGATCTTACCTTGAAGGGCTTGGTAGGATGATCGTGGGTAAAAATGTACTTTCACATTCTACTCTATACATTTCTGAATATTTAAGATCTACTGGTACCGAAAACATTATTTCTTATTTAAATAGTAAGTAAAACACACAAATAAAAAGAAAATAAAACTCTACCAGGGATTCTCTACTAGGGTTGGGGTTAACTTGGACAAAGTTGAGGAACGGCTTAGTAGTTAATCAATTACTTTTTTAAGGAGAAAGAACCATCAGAAACGCTACTCGTAGAGCGAGAAAACCTCTCCCATTCCTGAGCCCTCTCTAAGGTTAACGGTCTCCGGCAGAAGCATCGTGCAGGATTCTCGAACGTTCATTCCGTAACAAGGAAAGAACCCAATGGCAGTCTAGAAGCGGAGAGCGAGGGAGGGGGCCTCGCGGGACACCAGGAGCCCGCTGCGGACTGTCAACGCAAGGGGAGCGAGCCCATGCCCGCGCTCTCAGGGGGGACCCGGGTCTGCGAGTCCATGCGCGCGGGCGCAGGGAGAGCCGCTCCGGAGCCCAGGCCAGTCCCTTACCGGGCATTGGGCACGTCCACCGGCCCGAGGCCGCTGCCGCCGGGGCCGGCTAGCACGTCCCCGCCGTATTTCTCCTCCATCCCGGGGCTCAGGAGCCGCCGCCGCTGTCCCCACTGCGGGGTCTCCTCATGTCTCGCCGCTGCCGCGCAACAGCCAGCGTAGGCGCGTCATTCCCCCATGGCAGCGGCCCCGGCAGGTCCCCGTAGGCCAGAGCCGCTGCTGTCCTCGGCTCCAGATCACCGGCACACGCTCGTCCCTCTGTAGTAGGCCGCAAGCAGGTCCAGCACCGCCGCGACCCTGGCAAGACGAACCGGCGCGGGCGCTGCCAGGCCACGTCATCGGGCCCAGCAGCCCTCACTCCCGAGGGAGTGCCCCGCTCTGCGCCTGCGCATACGAAAGCACTCGCGTTCCCGAGCCATGTCTTGGTCTCCACCCCTCTATATGACGCCAGACGTAAAGCCCCGCCTTCTCCAGAAGGGCTTCCTTGGGACGCAGCCAAATGCACTTACTTGTACTCACACTGCCACCTATAGGCCGTCGTAGGCCGCTTCCTGTAGCACAGAAAGAGGGTGAGAGAAGATGCAGCAACTGAGCTCACCAGTCTCTCGGTTGTTGTAATGTGTCATAGAGTCGAGTAAGCCTCATAGCGACCGTCTATGAACAGCCAACCTGAACCTCTGCCCTATTCTGTGCCATCCTCTTCATCTCTGATACTCTAGAGCCCATTGCTGATGTCACAGGTTCAATCCATCTTGTTGGAGGTCTTCCTCTCCTTCACTGACCATCTTTCCAAGCATGATGTCCCTTTCTATGGAATAGCCTCGCTTAGCTACCTGTCCAAAGTGAAAGACAAAGCGTTGCCATCTTCGCCTCAAAGAAGCACCCTGGTTGCACCTTTTCCAAGACCTAACTGTTCTTTTTTGTAGGAATTCTTTCTTATGGGCCTCTCACACCTTTGCTATTTCAAAATGTGTAAACATAGGGGTTTCTGTTGAGGAAATAATGTAATTCAATAAATCTTAATATGTGACCTAAAAAAAAATGACCTCTGGAATAACTTCTGTGTTCGTACAAAATACCTTGTTGTTGTTGTTATGTGCCATCGAGTCTCTTGTGACTCATAGCGACTCTATGTACAAGAGCCCTAAACGCCGTTCTATCTTGTGCCAACCTCGCCATCTCAAACACACTCGTTTCCACCACTCCATTCACAGAATCTATCCATCTCACCGAGGGTCTTCCTCTCCTGTGCCATCCCTCCACTCTTCCAAACATGATGTCCCTCCTCCAGGGACCAGTCCCTCCTTGCAACATACCCAAAGTATGTCAGACGAAGCTTCGAATCCTTGACTCCAAGGAGCATTCTGACTTCACCCTCTCCAGGATTTGTTCTCCTTGCAGTACATGGTATATTCAACACTCTTCTCCAGCACCACAGCTCAAAGGCATCAATTCTCTTTCTATCACCCCTATTCACTGTCCAACTCTCTGATGCATAGCAGTAATTGCAAAGACCATAGCCTGGATCAGGCGCACCTTAGTTTCCAGCCTGACGCCGCTGCTCTTCAGTACTCTTGAGAGGTCCCTCAGAGCTGACTTTCCCAATGCAATTTGTCTCCTGATTTCCGGGCTGCTGTTACTAAGAGTGTTGACTGTGGAAAATACCTAGAAAATAGTTTTATTCTCCAATTTGGAACACTTTTTTTTTTTTACTTACCTCAACATTTTCCTTATCATTTTTTAAAATAAAATTTTTATTTAATACCTATTTACTTAACATTTATTTTCACACCAAATCTTTCCAATTTCTTTTACCCTCCACTCATCGACCCTATGATGACATTACGATGTCTTTTTCTAAGTATTGGCTCCTCTGGACATCATACACAAAGTATGTGAGAGCCTTCACCAACCTTGCCTCTAAGGAGCACTCTGGTTACACTTTCTCCAAGACAGACTTGTTTGGTTTTTTGACAGTGCATGGATGTAAAGTACTTTCAACAACATAGTTCCAAGGCATTTATTCTTCTTCAGTCATCTTCACAGTCCAACTTTCAGATATATGGGAAGCAATTGAAAATACCTTAGTTTAAATCAGGTGCACCTTAGAGCCTGTGGTCTCTGACACACCAGCAAGCAGCTCCCGGATTGGTAAGGGCAACTCCCCTGATTGAGGTGCTTCCCTTTTTCATGGCCACCCTTTTCCAAGTCTTTCCACAGACACATATGGCCACACTTGGGGCATGCAGATCAGCAATGACTGCCTCTTTTGTCCTCTCTGATTGAGTACCCTGCCTGCACTCAACCTTTGGACTGGCAAAGACACTATCACTAACCAGTTAGACTAGTCTAGGCTCTTCCGAGGCCAGTAGGCCAGAGAGACTTTCTATTTCCCATGTTGTTGTATGCCATCAAGTTGGAATGAACCCACTGCCAACCCTCCAGTGGGTTTTCAGAGGCAGTAAATTGCACTTGAGGAGAGTGTTCACCTTTCTCCTGTAGAGACTGGTTCATTTGAACCATGTGCCTTTGGGATTACAGCACAACTTTTTACTAGCTTCCAGCGTACCCTTATTTTCCACATTGTTGTTGTGTGCAGTCGAGTCAGAACCAACCCATAGCTGACCCCTCAGCAGGTTTTTAGAGACAGGTAATCACCAATAGCATGCATATTGTTTTATGTTATTTAAAAAAGAATATTTTTTAAGTTGTTGACATTTCCCCCTTCCCCCTCCCACAGCCTGCCCTGCAGTGCACCCCTTGTTCCAGATTGTTGTCATACATATAATATGTAATCATATATTCCTTTTGACAGTTCTTCTCATCTGTTCTAATGCAGTGTTCATTATCCACGCTTTTCTCGTTCTCTCCCCAACACCCCATGTTTGTCCTGTTTTAAAACAATAGTGTTTGTCCTTTTGTGACTGAGATATTTCACTTAGCATAGTCCTACATCCATTGTGATGTTGCCTATTAGTCCAGTGTGAGAGTCTTTGTTTCCTTGACATTGAGATGCAATCCATACTGAAGGGCTGCATTCCTTCAACTTCTGCAACAATGCTTCAAGTCTTCATCATTTTCTGTAAGCAAGATTGTGTCATCAGCATAACACAGATTATTGACGAGTCTCCCTCTAATCCTGATGCCACACTCCTCCTCATAGAGTCCAGCTTCTCAGGTAATTTGCTCAACATACAGATTGAATAGGTATGGGGAGAGAATACAACCCTGCTGTACTCCCTTAATTTTAAACCATGCAGTTATCCCCGGCTTCATTTGCACAACAGCTCCTGATTCAGGTACAGGCTTTGCATGAGCACAATTAAGTGCTCTGGGATTCCCATTCTTCTCAATGTCAGCAGCAACTTGTTATGATCCACACAGTCAAATACTTTGCATAGTCAATAAAATACAAATAGGTATTCTTCTGGTATTCCTTACTTTCAGCCAGAATCCATCTGACATCATAAATGATATCTCTGGTGCCATGGCCTCTCCTAAATCCTGGTTGACCTTCTGAAAGTTAACTGTCCATGTACTGTTCTGGCTTTTTAGAATGATCTTCGGCAGTATGATGAATTATTGAGGAGTAATGATGCCAGTTTGAGGACTAAGGTATGTCTGATTCAGGCCGTAGTCTTTCAGATGCTATGCATCTGAGAGCAATGAATAAGGATGACAAAAGAAGAATTAATGCTTTTGAGTTGTAGTGTTGGAGAAGAGCACTGAACATTTGATGGACAGCCAAGAGAACACAGATATGTCTTGGAGAGTGTGCAGCTGGAGTGCTCTTTGGAAGCAAGAATGATGAGACTTCACCTTATATATTTTGGGCATGTTGCTTGAGAGGCTATACTTTGAGGAGGGATGTAATGCTGGGAAGAGTGGAGAGTTGGCAAAGGAGAGAAAGACCTCCAACGAGGTGGATTGACACAGTGACTGCCACAATGAGGACTTTTGTATCGGTAAGTGTGAGGATGGTACAGGATAGAACATGGTTCAGATCTTTTGTTAATAAGGTTGTTAGGATGATCATAGGTCATAGGTGCTAGGATGACACCTAACAACAACAACAACAAATGTCCTCCAGGCTCCCCCATGTTGTGTAATGTTTTACGAGTTCATTGTTTTTCAATGCTTCCTAAGAGCCGTTGTGTGACTGTATCATAGTTTTTCTATCCATTCATTTGTTGATGGGCACTTGGGTTGCTTCCATCTCTTTGCTATTGTGAATAACGGAGCAAGAATAATGGGTGTGCATACATCTATTTGAGTCATGGTCTGATTTCTTTAGGATATATTCCCAGTAGTGGAATTGCTAGGTCAAATGGTATTTTTATTTTCGACTACTTGAGAAAGCTTCAGAAAGCTTTCCAAAATGACTGTACCATTTTACATTCCCACCAGCAGTGAGTAAGGGTTCCAATTTCTGTACAACCTGGCCAGCATTTGTTGTTTGCTGCCCAATTGAATTTTGCTATCATTGCTGCATGAGATGATATTTCATAGTTCTTTTGATTTGTGTCTTTCTGATAGCTAGGGATTTTGAACATTTCTTTATGTGTTTATTTCTCATCCAAAGTCTTCTTTGGTGGTCTATTCACTCCTGCACCTATTTTGTGATAGAGTTGTTTACATTTTTCTTGTTGAGGTGCTGGAGTATTCTATAAATTTTAGATATAAGTCCCCTGTCAGATATGTGATTGCTAAATATTTTCCCCCAGACTGTGAGTTTCCTTTTCACTCTCTTGGAGAAGTTTTTTTTTAATCTCAGAACACTTACTTGTACTTGTGTGAAACCTATACTTGGACTGGGAAGCAGTCATCAGAACAGAACAAGGAAACACTTCATGGCTCAAAATCAGGAAAGGAGTGGGTTAGAGATGTGTCCTACCTCCATACCTTTTCAATCTATATGCAGAACAGACCATTTAGGAGCCTGGATTTTATGAGAAGGAGTGTGGCTAATGGACTGGCGGAAGACTTATCAACAACCTATGTTATATAGATGACAGAACCTTGCTTGCTGAAACTGAGGAGGACCTGAAGCATCTGCTGCAAAAGACCAAGGACTGTAGTCTTCCATATGGATTCAAGTTCATCATCAAGAAGTCAAAGATTTTCACCACTGGGCCAATTGGCAGCATCATGATAGATGGAGAAAAGATTGAGGTTGTTAATAATTTCAGCTTGCTCAGCTCCACAATCAACACTCCTGGCAGCATCAATCAGGAAATCAAAAGACA